CAGGGGGAGTGGGAGAGGGAGAAGCAGGCTTCCCGCGGAGCAGGGAGCCCGATGTGGGGCTCGATCCCAGGACCCCGGGATCATGACCTGAGCCGAAGGCAGACGCTTAACGACTGAGCTGCCCAGGTGCCGCACATAATCCCATTTACATGAAGTACTCAGAATAGAATCATAAAGACAAAGTAGGACGGTGGTTGCCGCGATCTGGGGCGCAGGGATGGGGAGCGGGCATTCGGGGCGCGGAGTCCTGCGGGTGGATGCTGCCCAGCAGCGCCACGTACTCCGGCCCGAGCGAGCAGGGCAACGGTCCGCACACCGTGTCAGCCAGCCCGTCCCTTGTTAGACACTGATCACGGGGCCAGTCTGGAAGCATTAGTTCTAAGAAGGAAGGCAGCCCAAATGTCTAATAATTGGGAATTGGTTAAGTGTTCATGATGCACAAAGTTGGTGGGATATTCTGCAGACGTTAGAAATGTCAGCATGGAGCCCATGAGGCAGGGTTGAAAATATTTGTGAAATCACATGAGAAACTCTTACATGCACCGTCATTCTAATTACATACGATGGATGCACGCAGACACGTTAGGGTGATGGGAGTGACTTTTCTTCTTTCACACATATATTTTCAATGTATTTTAATACCACTACGTGGGGGTGCCTGGGTGGCTCAGTGGGTTGAGCGTCCGACTCTCGATTTCAGCTCATGTCATGATCTCAGGGTCCTAGGATCAGGCCCTGCATCGGCTTCTGCTCTGAGCATGGAGCCTACTTAAGATTCTCTGTCTCCCGGTTCTTCTGCCCCTCCCCACCCTGCTCGCGTTCTCTCTTGAAAAAAAAAATCATATGAGAATAGATCTAGAACTAGGGATTCAATATCCTGTCAGTAATGCAGTAATAAGCAAGGAGTGCCCAGATCTGGTTCTTTCTGGGCATAGTTTATATTAAATTCAGCCTCCTCGGCTTCAAGAAAGCCTAAAGCATAAAATAATATCCTGCATCCATGATTCGAAGAAAACCAGACCCTCAGAATAGTTTAGATCTAGGAAAATACCATGGTGTTATTCCCATGCTTCTCTAGTGATTATTCACTCAGTTATTCATTTGACAAATATTTACTGATCATCAGCCACCTGCCAGGCACTGTTTTAAGCACTGGAACAGACTGGTGACCTGAACATGCGGGAGCCCTGGCCTCACTAGGCTTGTGACGGAGACACGCAGTCCTGAGCAGGGCACAGGGGTCGAGTGGTGGGGGTGCCCTCAGAGACGGGGCGGCTGAGGGGGACCCCTTCCCCCCAACCCCCGGGGAGGGCCATGGGGGGCCATGCACACCTCTGGGGGGAGGTCATTCCAGGCAGCGGCAAGAGCCAGTACAAAGGCCCTGGGGCGGGGAGGGGGTAGGTGGAGTGTGCTTAGTTATCCTGGGAGGCTGGAGCCAAGAGAGCGCAGGAGGGACTCCTAGAAAATGAGATCCGATGGGGTTTGAGTAGAGCAGTCAGGACTTCGTATTTTGTGCTTGCGCCCAGGGTGAAGGGGTGCCAGAGAGGGTTCCGGCCAGGCCAGCACACGGGGGCCTCTGATCTGGCTGCCCCTTGGGGAGCAGGCCGAGGCGGGGCGAGGACCGGAGCAGGGAAATGGGACAGGCCACGGACCGTCGAGAGGGAGACGGGGTCTAGGTGCGCTTTCAAAGGTGCCGCCAGCAGGACTCGCTGATGAACCTGACGTAGGGGGTGGGGGAGTGGAGGGTGACGCCCAGGGCCAGAGAGTGTTCTGGAAGGACCCACAGGGAGGCTCGAGTTCTGTCTCAGCGTCCTTTTCACAAAATGATCTTAAATCTCAAGTTAAAATTCAAGAGACGCACAGGAAGAATCTGGCTCCCAAATCTAATCCAAGGGTGTGAGGGACTCCTGGAGATTCCGTCACCTCACGAGGAGCTCTTTGCACCAACGGGACACGGAGTCGCTTGCGTACACGTCTCTGCGCATCCTTTCGTGCAGACCACCCTTTAGAGCAAGCGGGTTATAAAACACCAGCAGCAGACAAGAACTGCTTGTCCTCGCTCTTCCTTGGAAAGTACCAGCGCCGCCCGCACATCCCAGCTTTCAAAGGGGCTTTCTGTGGGTGATTTTCAGAATGATTTATTTAAACCTCTTGAAATTGCCCACATGCACTTCATAATTGTATCGTACCTGACATTTTACAAGGCACTCTTACGGAAATGTCTTCATCTTCTTAGCCCCCTTCGAAGGTAGCTGTGCTTGTTTTCCTCGCGTTCGCACAGAGCATACGCTAGATCATGCCGTATTGCGGTCATCCCGCAAGGAATGTGACTCTTGGGTTAGTGCCCCGACCCACTCGGGATCACACCTCTGCTGAGTGGCAAAACCAGGATTCCGACCCCCGTTCTGACGCTGGTTCACGCGGTCGCCCATCAGGCCTTATTTGTGGGGTGCCTTCCGGGTCGCGGGCCCTCTGCCGAGCACGGGAAGGACCGTGGGGCCCTGAGCAGCGTGACCCGCCCTGTTCCCGCGTGGCGCCGAGGCCTGAGTGTCCTTTCCGCTTGGCCAGCACAGGTATAGGAGAATGCTCTGTGGGGGGGGCACCAGCCCCTCTGGGGCCTCTACAGCAGAGGGAGCGGCCGGGGCTGCTCTCGGGCCCCCTTTCCTCCCTGGTGCTGGAGACATCCTAGCGACCTGCCGGAGCCCCTCCGCTTCCAGGCCTTCACGTGGGCGGGGGGTAGGAGGAGGGAATGGTGCGCGGGGGAACGGAAGAGAAAAGAGGCGGGAAGCACCCACAAAAGAAGAGGAGAAGGGAGCGAGGAGGGGGGAGGGAGGGAAAGTCACTCAAGCCGGTAAGCACGAGAAAGAGCACGTGGGGAGTCGACCAGCCCACTGTTGATGCGCCGGTCTTCGATCTTCCCGGGGCCTCTGGTTTCCGCGGGGACTCCTGTCTGACTGCAGGGTATGACTCAGGGCGACTACGCGTGGTTCGCCAGGGAGTCGGCAGTACGACCGTACTCAGGACCGTGATCCTGGACCTGAGTGGGGTCCTACTGCAGAAGCCGTCTGGGAGCTTCACGCGAACCAGCGAGCGGCTGCATCCGGACGGCAGCCCGGGTGTAGATGGCACTCCTCCTGCATCCTACAGACGAGGAAAGGAGGCTCGGACAAGTTCCGCGGACTCGTTCACGGCCCGGGGGCTCCCGGATCCCGCCCAGGTGCTCGTAATGTCTGTGCCGCCCCACACGCCGCCTTCTCGACGCGGAAGTTCTCACGCTTGAAACGGTGGCAAATTACAGATACGCTCTGCACGTGGGCTGAATGCTCCTGTCGCCGCGCATCATAGGCCTGCATTTCTAATATGGAGCCCTGACCACAAATCTGGGTGACCTCAGACAGGACAATGGACCCTGTGCTTCCGGATCTGTCATTTTGGTGCACTTTTCACCAATCTGTAAATTCAGACTCTACAAAAGCAGGCGTGTGATTATGCCATTTGCCCCCGGATGACCCCTTCCCGTGTTCAGTTCCCTCGCTCGAGCGGATGTGTCAGCATTTCTGGGAAGGTCTCACGTGGCCATGCTGGTTGTGCTGACTCAGATGGGCACAGCCACGCCTTCACAGGACCACGGAAAAGCCACGTCCAAGGCCTAAGCTCCTCGGGTGCCCCGAGCCCTCCTACACCGAAGGGCCCCGCGAACGCTGAGTGTGCGCGTGGGCACACGTGTGAGTCTGTGTGTCACTCCCACCTGGGCCACCCCGGAAGGCAAGTGCGCGTCTGGAAGTCCTCAGAGGCAACCCCACACCCCCACTGAGGATGATGAGTTCCACGAGCTCAGACTGTGTCGCTGAGAAGTTGAGTTTTGAAGGAACATTCATCAGCGTGTGTGACAAGTCGTGTGGAGCAGCAGGGTGCAGTCTGGGCCCACGGAGGCTCGCACGTGGGCCCCTGCCCTACACAGTGTCGCCTTCGGTGGAATCCTCCCCCGTGGCCAGCAGAGCTTCCCACAGCCGACCGGAGGAGCGCAGGACCCGGCACCCCCAGGCTTCATCCAGCTCCAAGTCCGCGCGAGTCAGGGACAACAGATGCCCCATGACGACACAGGAAGGGGGCGATGCGGGGCACAGCACATAGGACACAACCCCAGCAAGCGTTAGAACATTTATAATAACCAGGGGCGCCAGACGGAGGAGCGTGTGAACTCCTGACCCCCGGGTCGTGAGTTCAAGCCCCAATCGGGTAGGGAGTTTACTTAAAAACAAAATCTTTAAAAAATAAATAAAAAAGGGGCGCCTGGGTAGCTCAGTCGGTTAAGCGACTGCCTTCGGCTCAGGTCATGATCCTGGAGTCCCGGGATCGAGTCCCGCATCGGGCTCCCTGCTTGGCAGGGAGTCTGCTCCTCCCTCTGACCCTCCCCCCTCTCATGTGCTTGCTCTCTCTCATTCTCTCTCTCTCAAATAAATAAATAAATAAAATCTTTTTAAAAAAATAAATAAATAATACAAATAAAATATTTACAATAATGGAAGGCAGCTGTAGTTTTAAAAGACAGTTAACATATCAGAAGATGTCTGCCACATATATAAAAAAAATAAAAATATATTTTTCATATATAAAAATATTTGAAAATAAAAACATACAAGAAAGAATTGCTACAAATCAACGAGAAAGAGACAAAAAGTAGGAAAATGGGCAAAGACTATAAATAGGCAATTCTCTGGTCAGTAAAGGTGGGGACAGGTGCTCAACCTCACTGGCAACCGAGGAAGCAAGAACTAAAACAAGAGAAGTTGGTCAGATTCTCCTAACCCAGCAGAAGGGGGAAATTAGGACAGGTCAGCTGGTGTGGGGCCAGCGTTGTGGGGCCTCCCTGGAGGCGAGGACCTGGTACGTTGAGAAATGGACACGCTGTCCCAAGGGGAGCGTGAATGGACATGCTCGGGGAAGTACTATTTGTGGGGCAAAGTGGAGATAACCGAGAGCTCCGCCAGCCCGAGCCGGCCAGACCCTCCACAGCATGGACAGACAACAGCGTGTATGTAGGACTTTTTTTTTTCCCATAGGACTCTTTAAAATATTATATTTTCTTTTTCTTTTTCTTTTTTTTTTAAGAGAGGGAAAGAGAGAGAGAGAAACAGGTGGGCGGAGGGGCCGAGGGAAAGGGAATCCTAAGCAGGCTCCACGCTTGTTGCGGAGCCCGATGCGGGGTTGATCCCACGACCCTGAGATCATGACCTGAACTGAAATCAAGAGCCGGCTGCTTAACTGACTGAGTCACCCAGGCGCCCCAAAAAGCACTATGTATATTTTCTATGGATATATTCAATGGGCAAGATTTGCATGTAACATAGTTAATAACGGTGGGTACCTCCTCTCTAGGGAGAGAAGAAGTCCAGGCTTGGGGGTTGGAGGCAGAGGATCCACGGAGACGTGAGTGCTTTGAAAAAGCCAGGGTTAGGTGTACTGGGTCTAGAGACGAGCCCTGCCGTCCAGCTGGGAAAAGCCCCTTCTCAATGACTTGTGACACAGCGCTCTCCGCCTCCCACTCTGGGCTTTTTGAGGCTTTGATAATAAAGTGAGTTGTTGGTTGGAAATTCCCCAATAGTTCTTGCTGGTGGTACAGCACATTATTTTTTTTTTTTTTATCAACAGGCTTTAACAGCTAGAATTTGTTATATTAGAAAACTGAAAAAAAAAATCAATTTGTAAGCAATGAACTTGCAAAGATGTACCTGTGTTTTGCCACATAATAACTACCCAAATATAACAGCATCTCATACCAACTCTTTGTTTACTAAACCTACGTTGTCATGACAGCCTGGCCAGAGCCGAGTCCTGGCCGGGTCCCCATCTGCTGACACGGACAGGGCACTGGGGCGATGCTGCGTGACTCCCCGATCTCACCCCCATAGCTTAACACTGTTAGGAATAAAAACGGCAAGCTCATGTATCTGCCAACTACAGAGCTCGGATTCCCTGGAAATGAGCCAGAAATGTCTTCTTGTTTTAAAAATGAGAACCTTTAAAAACAAGCCACCCAAAAAAGATAGTGGATTTTTAACAACTAGCAAGAAGCTGCCAATTCCTACGTCAAAGGTAAGAGCCGTGAAGAAGGTTCCCAGTGTACATACCCAGCCTCCGTTTTGCCTTATCCACTCTCTCATGTTTGTCGTGATGAACTCTGCCACAAAGTAAGAAATCCGAGAAGCATCGGCATCCGGGGAAATTCGCTCCTGGAGGAGCTTCTTGGTGAGAATGCCTTCAAACGCAAATATGGTCACAATCCTTCCCCAGTTAATGACGCCGTCTTCAAACTCCTTCTCCATGACCTGGTTGAATATGGTTCTGGCCGTGTCGACGGACACCACATCAAAACTGTCCAGGCACGGTTTCAGGTTCTTCTCGACCTCCCCCTGCACGGAGGAGGCCACGTCCCGAAGCAGCCGGGACGCCCTGCTGGGGGCCGAGCCAGGCTGCGGGACCCGCAGGACATGCCTCACGTAGTCCTGGGCCAGCGTCAGGGTGTACCCGAACTCGCAGTCCGTCATCTTCCTCCCGGCCCGCCGGCCAGCCGAGGCCAAATGAGGCGAGCGCCGGCGGGACCGGGGCCGTGACTCCTGGCGACGCGTGGAGGCCGGTGGAATTTCTGTGTGCATCACCAGCCGGTCCCTCCTCCTCGTCACTCTCGGGCGTGGGCTGGGTGTGAAAGAGAAAGTTGAAAACGTGGAAGCGGAAAGCAGTTCAGGAGAGGCCACTTCCTCAAACTGTCAGTGATTAACTCGGGGACTTACGGGCTGAAGGCAGGACGTAGAGAAACCAGAAGCGCTCTCCCCCGCGGGGGGCGGCCCGTGTGCGAATCCGGCCGGTCCTCCAACAGCTCCGTGCAGACTGCTGTCCGAGCCCGCGCTGCCACACTCGCAGCCGAGCGCTATGCGCGGTGGTCAGACGGCAGAAACGACCCGCACGGTGGGCCGCAGAGACGCGGCGGCCGCGGTCAGGGGCGCGGCCCCACGCCGCGGGGACACGCAGTGCGAGCTGTGCGTGTCAGCCCTGAGCCGGCCGGCAGACCGCGGGCGGCGGAGGGGCGCAGGCCTTGCTCTTACGGGTTGGACAGAGGCGGGGGTCGCACGCCGCTGTCCCTGTACCAGACTCCGCGGAATCGCTCGCGTTGACATGGGTGGTTTTACGAATGTCACCTGCACAAAAGGGTCAAGGCAGCCGCCCAGCTGAGCCAGGCTGGTGATGGTCCAGGACGGAGCTCAGCCAGCCGCAGGGGAGCAGCCGGGGGACAGCGCTCAGGGACACCGCCCTGGACACTGCGGCCCTGAGCCGGGGGGCGGGGGTGGGCGGTGGGGGCGCCTGTGTACCCCGGAGCTTCTGACCCACAGAAAACAAGCCCTTCCTCCTCGCTCTCAAGTCATGTCGGAAACAGAAGCGCCCCCTCGTCCCTCGATCACCACGTGCCCGGTGTCTGTGATGGGACCACACGGACAGCCTCCCGGGCTGAGTGAGGTGAGCCCCGAGCCCTGGCTCCTCACCATCCTAGGCTATGGCTCTTTCTGCAGCCTTCCCTCCGCCCCCACTGGGGTCCCCGGCGCTCCCAGACTCTCCCCCCTGCCTTCCCCTGCTCCCAGCGAGTCTCTGGAACACCCGACCCCCTGAGGCCGGAGTCCTGAATTGGCAGGGGACCCGCACGGAACAAAGGGGCACATTGCACACATGCGCTGGGTCCCCTGCTCCACCAGGCCCCAGGGACAGTCCTCCCGTGTCCGTTCTGCGACGTCTGCTAGCCCACAGGAGGCGCCTTCTCTCCTCAGAACCCTGCTGGGCGTCAGAAGAACCAGCAAAGGGATGGGACGTTTTCTCTCCCCAGTGGTGATGAGCATTCCTGCAGAAATAGTGTGAGCACGAGGCTTCAGAGCTGTAATCAGGCACTCCACGCTCAGGGTACACGCTCTCTCTCTCGCCAGTGCCCGCGCCTGCACCCGGGGAGGCTGGTCCTTGATCTGTTGACTAAATGAAGTGCATTTCCATCGCAGCTCCCGCCAACCGCATGCAGGCCTCTGTCTTCCTGGTCCGGATCCACAATGGTGTTGCTGTAAAAACTCTTAAATATTGTAACCTGCTTTACTTTATTTCAGAGTTTGCAGTCATTTTTCAAGAAAAGGTGGCAGAAAGAAAAAGTCTTTACCAAAAAGAATGATTTCTTTTTATGGAAAGTGCAGTGACTGAAGGGGTGTGTGGTGCGGGGGGTGTGGGACGGGGACACATAGCCAGCCATGGACAGGATGTGAGCATGGGGCGGGGCCATGCAGCCAGCCACGGACCGGGGGTGAGCATAGGGTGGGGACACGTAGCCGGCCACGGACCGGGGTAAGCATGGGGCAGGGGCACGTAGCTGGCCACGGACCGGGTGTGAACACAAAGGAAGGTGTCCTTTCTCAATGCCACCACAACCTGGGTCTGCATTCACCAGGGGCCGGCGTACAGTACGTTTCCCCATCCCCTGAGTTGCTGTGTGCACACAGGGAATTCTGTATGAAATTAGGGCTCCATCCTGATACACTCCGAGGGAGTCACCCCGAGTGGGTGGGGTTTGGAACCCGTACATGGACGATGTCAGGTGCTCGAGATACAGATGTCTATCCCTAGAGAGTTTTCTGTCTAGGAGACACCAGGCTGTATCAGAGGCTGACAAAGAAACTGCAGGGGGAGTAATCCGAGGCAGTTTCTGCAGCGTAGCTTCCAATTCAGGGCCCCCTCCTGAGGCCACGGAGCCAGGTTTGTGGACACAGCACAATGCTGAGGTGCTGGAAATGCGCCTGTATCATGCTCATCTCTGGTGGCCTGGGGGTGGATGGATGGCGGGAAATGACAGATGACTTCCTAAATCTGTCCAGGCCACATGAGCACCCGTGGCCTGACCGAGATTTTCCCTGTACACATCTTGTCCAGAAGCTTCTACTAAAGAGGCAGGAGGCTTGGCCAGGGCTGAGGGGAGTACCAGCGTTTGAGAAAAATGATCGGAACAGTGTGAGTCGTCTTAACGAACGGTCGCATTGCTGCACGTGGACAACCTCACACCCACTCATTGTGCTTACATGAGTCTGCACATCTGTCCACTTATCTAGTGCTTTCTACCAAAGCAGCCCCAAATCCTGGCGGCCAGAGTAACATACTCGGTCCTGGATGTGGGAGGTGGGCAGGGCTGGGGCGTGGGGACTGCTCTCTGCTCCTCGATGCCGACGCTGCAGGCTCGGGCTCGTCCTGTGCGGGGTCCCCAGCTCAGTTCCCACGAGCAAGAGTTCCAGCCACGAACGCAGGCTACGAATGGCCTTTCCTAACCCAGCGAGAGCTCAGAGCGCACCATTTGTGTCCTTTGGTACCAGCAGGCTTAGTCACAAGCCCGCAGCAATTCACGGAGAGGAAACACAGACCACTTTTATGGAGAAGGAGGGTGTCAGAGAAGTTGCAGCTAGGCTTCAAGGCTGCCACGGCGGGCCATGCACATGCGAGACCACTTACACACACATCGGACCGTCTGGTCAGGGAGCCTCACGCCCCTGCGGGGTGGTGAGGCAGAGAGGCAGCTCGAACGCTGGAGGGACCTGGGAGGTGCTTGGGAGCCATCCTGCCCACCTGTGCTCCCACCAGGCTACTGCAGGGCTGAGAACACCCTGGCCTAGAACCCTCCGGAGACGAGGTTGTCTGGAGAGGAGCTCCTCTTACCTCCGCCTCGACGGTGGGGAGCTCAGTGTGTGCCCCGTCCCCCCACCCTGCTCCAGCAGAGTTCAGTGGGGAACAGGACGGGAGCCCTGAAGCTCCCTGGCTGCTGAGTGGCCTGGCGAATCCGAGCCCCAGGCCAGGGTCCTGGGTGTGTGAGCTCGAGGAGAGGCTGCAGAGGTCAACTTCTCTTTTCCCCAAAGGCGGAACCTGGGTGGGAATCTGCTGGGCTTTTCGCTGCTTCACAGGAGGTGGCTCAGGGGAACCCCCAGCCCTGGCCTACTCTTTAGCTGTGGCTGCTTCCCCTTTCCAAGGCCATGGTTGGGGCCAACTGTCCACAGAAGGCAGCGGTCTTCACCGGTGAAACTCCCGGGACACAAAGGGGAGTGGGATGTGCGTGAGAAGAGCCTGTGTGGCCCCTGTCCTCCCCCGCAGTTCACGGGGGCCAAGCCTCAAAAGTCAGGACATGATGTAGGCAAGTCCGCTCCCCGGAGGAGAAGCCGGCGTCCCAATGTGACATGGCTGCTGGTCGGAGCTTGGTTTCCAGCCGAGGAGACTAATTTCCAGGAAATTAGCAGACGGGATTCCCCCCAAGTCTCCTGCTATACTCGGGAGCAAGGCCTAAGTGGGTGCGGGAGGGAGCCCGTGGGTCTGAAGCGAGCCCGGGAGGCAGGGAGGGAAGGGGTGTGGACAGATGTGGCTAGTGGGGGTTGCATTTTTAACTAAGGTCGCAGAGGCCACGGGGGGGGGGGGGGGGGGGATGGAGGAGGAAAGAGAGAGGGGAAAGCCAGGGGGAGGTTGAAATTGTGAATGGCCCCACATAAGACAGAATGCCTGAGTCCAACCTGGGACGCCGTGCTAGTCTGTCCTTCACAACGGGGCGTGCAGATGTGTGCTCGGACCGGCCGCTCCTTACCCGCTCTGAATCTCAGCTCACTTCACCGCCCTCCAGCCCCTGCCCCGGCTCCGTGCCGTGGCTCCTCATCCCCATCTTCAGGGCCCACGCCCCCGAAGCCTTCCCGACCCCGAGCCGGGATGAGTCTCCGCGCGTGCACCCCCCCCCGGGTGCAACAGCGTGTCTCTCGGCGTGTCTCCTCCAGTGGCTACCACGCCGTGTGCCCCCCGTGCTGGGCTCCAGGCGGGCAGCCCCCCAGGAAAACGGCTGTCGCGCTCACCGGGGATCCTTCCAGAGGGCCCTCGCGCAGGCGGGCGCACCACGGATGCTGACTGGGTTCTGTGCCTAACTTCGCCCTGCTGAGTGTTTGACAAATGGCCCGAATCGCAGTCGGACTGATGGCATGGCTGAAGCTAGATGAGTTCCTCTGCGAAGCTTTACTCAGCCAAAAGAACGTTTTGGGGTGCTCGAAACACTTCATATGTTGACAGGGGTGTTCGGACACTTGTCTGAATGCGCTGAAGTGGGTGCTTTAAGTTCTTTCTTTCCCCAAATGTCAGCTTGGGGGAAGTGCAAGAGAAGAGCGTATTTAAATGGGACCTTCAAGTGACTTTGGCGGAAGGGCTCAGACTTTTCCTGCCCTACACGGAATGGCAGGACCTACAACACAGACGAAGGAAGCAGAAGTGTGTTTGGTGACAGCAAATGAAACCGGGCCCCCTCCCTCCCCACTACCCCGCGAGCAAGGCTCTCGGAGCAAGGACTCAGAACACCCCAAAGAGCAAAGCACAGCCAGCCAGCCGCCCCTCACTCGGCCAGATGCTCCACAGACCTCACCGCGCCCCTGCCACGGGCCACAACCCTGCCACGGGCCGTGCACCTGCCATGGGCCGCGCCCTGCGCTGTGTCCAGGGGCCGTGGCAGGAGCACTGAGCTCACGGTGTAACGGAGCCTCACAAACCACCAGGAACTTCAGCTAAGAGCCACCGCACAACAGGACGTGCCGATTGGCCAGGCCGGGGGCCGGGGCTCAGAGAGGAGGCTCAAGCCGGCTCCTGCCAGCCCCACGCACCCGCCTGAACACACCCGGGTGGGAGCACAGAGAGGCTTTCTGATGAAGCTGAATCGCAGACTCAAAGTCACGCGGAGAGAAGACACAGACCCGGGGTCACCGCAGCTGGGGAGCTCAGAGTGTGCTGAGAAGAAGAGGGAGCTTGGGAGTGTTTAAGCGGGAGGGTGACATCGTCAGATCCGCACTCTGGGAAGGTGAGCTGGACAGGACCCCCTCTACAGGACCGACGACGGAGGACACAGGGATAACAAAGATTTTTTATCAATGTTATTGAGGTATAATTTCCAAATATTAAGATCCACCCACTTAAAGCACCCACTTCAGCGCATTCAGACAAGCGTCCGAACACCCCTGTCAACATATGAAGTGTTTCGAGCACCCCAAAACGTCTCTTCGTGCCCCTTTGCGCTCAGTCTCATCACCCTCCTGGCCACAGGCAACCACAGATCTGCTGGATGTCACAATGGATTCATTTTTCCTAAAATCTTATAAATATGAAATCAACCACACATACTCTTTTGTGAGTCCCTTCTGTTACTTAGCTCACTGGTTTCCAGATTCAGGGGTGCTGCTGAGTGGATGGACACTTTGTTTCTTTTTGTTACCAAGCAACACTTCCATTGCCAGGTCTACCACAATGTGTTTGTCCAATCTCCTGCTGACAGTTTTTGGCCATTATGAATAAAGCTGCTACGAACTTGCCCATACAGATTTCCTTAGTGAACCTACATGTTTATTTCTCCTAGGAACACATCTGGGAGTAGGACTGTGGGGTCCTATGATAAGTGGCTTATTTTGGTTTTGGTTTTTTGTAAGAATAAGGTCCACTTCATTAGAAACTGCCACAGTGTGGGCGCCTGGGGGGTTCAGTTGGTTAGGCGTCTGCCTTCGGCTCAGGTCAGGATCCCAGGGTCCTGGGACCGAGTCCCGCATCAGGCTCCCTGCTCGGCAGGAAGTCTGCTTCTCCCTCTGCCTGAGCTCCCCCTGCTTGTGCGCTGTCTTTCTCTCTCTCTCAAATAAATAAAATCTTAAAAAAGAAAAAGAAAAAGAAACTGTCACAGTGTTCCCTAAGCGACCGCAGTCCCTGAGCGCCCCCCCCAACCTCCTTGCCAACATTTGGCGTGGCCCCGTCTTTTTAACGTTACCATTCTGGTGGCTTCATGACTAATAACACTGAGCACCTTTTTGTGTGTTCATTGGCCATTTGTGTATCTTCTTTCCGTGAAACATCTGTTCAGAGCTTGTGTCCGTTTCCTAAAAACTCGAGTTGCTCTTTTTACCAAGTTGAACGGTGGTTTACGGGTTCTGGATGCTCACAGCGGCGTGTTTGAGGCCCAGCTGATGTGGCCTGAGCCAGGGTCACAGAGGGGCCATCCAGGCGCAGGCTTACAGGACTGGCTGGAGGACAGGGGCCCATCGGTGGCTCAGAAGGGGTGACGGGAAAG